AACAGAGAGTCCTTTAGGGAGACATTAAGAACATGGGAAAGCAAGTATCCATGGTCTTTGATCTACTCACTCATGACAAAAAAAGAAGACAGAAGCAGGAGTGAATTCTGGGGAAAGCACCAGCAAATCAAATGTGCTTAGGGGCCAAGAAGAAAGGAAAAAGGGTAGGATTTATGGAAAGGGAGATCAAGTCTCCAGGAACAAAGGGGGGGGAGGGAGAAACAGGTAGATATGTTGTACTTAAGTAATGGAAAAATGGTGGTTGTTACCTTGCTTTGTGGCCTCAGAAAGTTGGCAAGCCACTGGGTACACTGTCAGCATCAGCAAGAACACAGAAGCATGTCAACCCAGCTGAACTGAACTGACTAAACCATTTAGACCCCAACCATTACTAGTGCACTTAGACAGTAGAGTGGCATAATTAGTGAATAGTGATATCAATAAAGAAGAAAATTTGTATTGTGTTTGTAATTCCTTCATTTTCCAGTGAATAATGAATCAAAACTGTCTCTGTGCATTGCATGACTACAGCTGTTAAATTTTGTACTCAGTTAATGTTCAGATAAAAAAGACTCAAGTTAGAGCTGAACAGAACTGTCTGCATAAATATTATATTCATTATGTGCATTGGATTTTCATTTGGAAATTTATAAAATTTAGCCTTGGGGCCCTCCTTTCCATCAGAATCATAAAACAGGCAAGAGTTTAAATTTTAGACTGGGAAGATTAAAAAATATCCTGGAAAAAGACAGTGATAAATCCCTTCAGTACTGTATTGTTGCCAATAAAATTATATGAATGTATCTATGATCTTGCCAGGAATCAAGATCAAATAAAAGAGGACTTTTACTTCCCAACTGCAATCCTAATAAAAATCCCTCGTATGTTGAATTTAGAGGTGGAAAAAGAAATTGTTAATGGTGTAAATGGGAAATTTTATTTTCTTATTTCTAATTGTGTTGCTGGGGAAGAATTTTCATTGTGACTGCTACTACTATGAGAAAAATGAAACTTCTTATGTTGCCTATATAGTTGTGAAAGTGGGGCGTTAATATAGAATAATTAAAATTGTTATATGCAGCTGCAGATTGGCTAATTTACATAATATCTCTTGTTTTCATTGTAAACAATTTATACAGCTTTTATAAAGGCATGCAATATACTGTCAATGTTTGTAGTTGTGGGAATCATGATAATAAGATTACCAACACTAAAATATTCTCATAAAAATATCATTTGTCATACTTTAACATTCTGAAGTTTAGATTGCTTGCCTATCTCTTTCTTCCATCCAGGCATATTCATAGACAAAGACCTGTATGGCCAGAGAAAGAAAAGGAATGCTGGGATAGGGCTTTATGATAGCCAGCTGGGTTTCAAATTGAGGGACACAGCTTGGAGAGCGAAGAGACTGCAGATATAACTTGACCTCCAGAAAAGGTGCTGGGAGCTAATCTGCCCATCCAACCTGAAAGTATCTTTCATCCCTGCTTAAATATTGATGACACTTCCATATAGCTTGCCTTTCCACCACTGAAACCTTGAGCAGCTTGTTTTGACCATTTAAAGTTATTGGGATGCTATGCAACAGGCATATTTATTTCTTTTTGAGTTTACCTTGCTTGTGTGAACCTTGCCATTTGTCAGCTCTCCCTTTCAGGCCTCTCTAAACCAGTGGTTCTCAACCTGTGGGTCGGGACCCCATTTGGGGTCAAACGACCATTTCACGGGGGTCGCCAAACAATGCAGTCTGCCATTTTTTTCCTCCCTTTTCCTTAGCTGTGCTACTCCCTTTTATTCTACTGGCTTTTGAAAGCCAATAGAATAGACTCTCTTGAATAGAGTCTAATTCTACTGGCTTTCAAAAGCCAATAGGAATTGTCCAGGCTGTCTCTGCCCTGCTGAGCCCGCCAAAAGACCAATTCTGCAAACGGTGCTGCACCAGTTGAGTAGTCCTCGACTTACGACCGGTTGAGTAATCCTCGACTTATGACCAGTTGGGGGTTGTGGCATTAAAAAGGTTGAGAACCATTGCTCTAAACAGACAAGGCAAAGCACTATAAAGGATATTCCAAATTTAGAACTTTTCCAAACTGATCACAGCATTTTGAGTTTGGTCCTGATTTGAAATCTAAAAGAACATCCAGTAGGTCATTGAGATATAGTTGGCGTATATATCATGGCATACTCTTCATGTTAGAGTTCCTCAAATGGATCCAAAAAATTTAGCTAATTCTTTTTATTCACAAAAGTAGTTCTATCTCATTAGAGGAGGGATAGTGAAGAACAGTTATGGAATATAGAAGGAATGAATCATTATAGTCTGGGGCCAACATCTATTTCTTAGGCAAAGCGTTCAACTAGAAACACCTTACCAAATTCAGACATTCTTCCATCGTTTCTCAATCCATGTTAATAATTAGGTATATCATAAATTGGGAATCGATGGGTGATGAGCCAGACCAGCAGTTTCCAGAGAAAGGGAAGAGATTGATGATGTGTGTTGTGAATGTCAGCTCCTCATGAGGAAGCCTACAGGACTAGGAGGGACTGAAGGGCAACACTGCATGATGAGGAAGAAAAATAAAGCCTCAGCAGATTCTTTATGGACACGAGGTACAGCACTACTCTATCAGTTTACACACATCTGGAATACAGGTATTTAAATGCTAAAGATATCTTCAGAGCAGCAGAGCAACCAAACCATCCAGTGAATGTTCTTATGGCTTGGGGCATGTTTAAAGGGGAAAAAAAAAAACAGAAAAAAGGATTAAAAAATTATCTAAGCAAAAAAAAAAAAAAACCTTACTAACAGTTTGGATTATAAAAATTTAAATGGATAAAGGGGCCAGTGGATTTTGAATTTCATTTTAAGTTCCTTCAAATTAATTAAATAAATGACACGTACCTCCATAGAAAAAGCTCTGTTTGGGTTCTCCATGGGAAATAACTGATGGATCATTGTTTATTTTTACAAATTTTAACTTATGATGTTATTGTGTTTTTCTGAGAAAGCTGTTTTGATGATGAGATCATTAAAATAAAATATCAATTCATGCTCAAGGGAATCAATCCAGATGAAAATCAAAGAACTAGGCTAAGTATTCAAGTTTTACCTCCAAGTCAATGGGGGGAAATAGCACCTGCATAGAAACTATAGCATCTATGAAATATTAATGCCTGAAACAATAAGCTTAGGATCCATGGAAATTTTTATTGATCTCTTTTAAAAAAATGATTGCCACAATTTGCATCTTTCAGGGACCTCTCATCCATTTTTATACTGCCTCCCAAATGTCTCATTATTAATTCAGTAAAATGAATTATAGAATAATTTTATTCAAAAGTATAGGTATAGTAAACATATTTACATTAAAAAGAGATATTAACTTGTATTTTGTTGTTGTTTTTGATTATTGGGAGGATTTATTTTAAGCTTACCCTTATTCAATATTTTTAGTTGGTTTTGATTGTTTTTTTTCCCAAGCCATTGTTATGCATCTATTGTAATTGCTCCAACTTTCTTCTACTTTTCAAAAAATATTGCAGAGTTATTGTGAATTGATTTTTTAAATAATTGTTGCAGATTTCTTTTCAATAGCATCTTTTATGCCATCTCTACATTTGGGTTATTATTATAATATGCCAGGCATTTTGAAAGGGTGAATTCAAGCTAATGTCTGGAATCTGGGTGACTCTTCTGGAAAATGCATGTGGATGGCCCTTAACAACTGAGGAAGCTAAAGACTGAGTAAGGTAGGAATAGATCTCAGGAAAAATGGATGTGCTCTAGTGTTTGGTGTATATATATATATACTTTCAGAGTGTAGAATCATCTCAACTCCCACTGTCACTGTTAATAAATAAATAAATAAATAAATAAATAAATAAATAAATAAATAAATAAATAAATAAATAAATGTAAGTATCCCTTCATTTTGAAATTCCAGTATGATAAATTATTGTGGATTTTATCTCAGGTAGGATAAAGATCAACTCTGAATACAATTTTAAAACCACATTCCAAATCTAAAGGGCTATTAAGAATCTATATTCAAAATGGATGCAATTCCCACCCAAAGCCTCAGAGACAGGACTATTTTCCTGGGAATAATTTTTTTTTTTTGGCCCAACTACCAAAATGAAGAGTTGCTAATCTGTCTCCATACTCGCACAGAATAATGGCAAAGTGGCCTACAAATAAACTACCTGCTGTTGTCCCTGGATGCGCATGTATTCCATGCGTTGCTTTATGTGTTTGCTTTTGTCTGGGCTGCCTTGCTGGGTTTGCTTTAGCCGTGATGCTGGATTGACCATCTTCATGGCTGGAATCGAGACACCGCCACCACTCTGGGGAAATAACAGATTAAGTGATATTGTTGGGGATAGGTTAAGAAACAAGGATGTTGAAAACCAACACAAATAATAGCTTAAGGGTTGCCTTTGCTTCTGCAGTTGTATTGTCATAGTGTGAATTGGCAGCTGTGTTTCCTGCCAAAAGCAAATTCCTCTATCCACCAGTCAATTGAGCAGCTACGATGTCATGAAATATCCCCAAACATTCTAACTGTTCAGTTACCATTTGTCTGATAATTTTGACACAAAATGCAGCTGAGATGTCAAAAAGGCTATTTTTTTTCTTTGGATTCTGGTCAGGGCAAGTATTTCATGGCAATCTTATCTGTTTCAATTTTATTGTATTGCGGCATAAGAAAATTAAATAATTTTTAAATTTGTAAAACAACTTTCCATCAGTAGTACCCTACCAAACCCATCACATTCTTTGATCAGCCTCTCAAAGAACAGACAGATGCTGATGCCATAGGCCCAGGAAATTACAGAATGCGAGTTTAGTACAAGTTTTTAAAACGAGTCCTTACTCTGTTTACCCCAGCTGCCAGTCTGAAAATGCACGAGGGGTTCGAGGAACAAGAAGAGTTGAACAAAGAAACAGAGAAGTTAATTGAGTAGCAGAAAATAGCAGAAGGATAACATAGGAATGAGATAAAGGGTTTTATTTTTAGTATACAGGATTTCTTCATACAACAATGTAGCAGATCTAGCATATGTAGATGTAAAGCAGTTCCTGTGGTAGATAACCTATGCTCAAAAAACATAATAATAGATATGTCTTATCTCTCACTTCAAGCAACTTAAAACTATTAGCTTTAAAAGTGTCAAAACCTTTTAATACTATAATACAACTTTTTAAAAATAGTCTAAAGCAGTGCGAAAAGAATTACAATTTTAGTCAAAGTATTGATAAAGGCTCACATCACATTGTAATTTATCTATTCAAATCACAGAAAAAAATAAGAATGTTCTACCTATTCCAATATTTTACCTATACCAATTCCTATGAGAAAGAAGAAATCGGTGTAGCTACATAAAAAGCTTAGTGAAGATCTGAAGCCAATGAAAGGATACTAGGAAGGATACTGACAAAAAGCCTATTGCTGTACAGTTAGTGCCTGAAAAGTAAAGCTTGGAATGACTTGAGATATTAACACTATAAAAATAGTTTCTTTTGTTTCTTCAAAGCAAAACAGCCAGGATATTAACAGCACAGTGAAGATATCAAAATGCTAATAGATGATACACACAAACACATAGACATAGGCAATGCTACTAACTCTTGCTTTGATTCAATCTTCTCCAACAATAACATAAGTAATGTAAATATAAAATGAATAAAAGAGAGGGGCTGAAACATGAAGATGATGGAAACATTTTCAGGATACATATGTCTATGACTAAATTTAAATCTGCAATCAGATCAACTCCATCCCAGGTATTAACTGATGATTTCAGTGAGCATTTATATAGTATGGGAGAAAAAAAAGGAAGTTTCAGGAAATTTAATGGATCCAGGAGCTATTGAGCAGTCAGTCTAACATTAACACTTAGGAAAATTTTAAGTATTTGTATTTGTTTTGAAAAAGATTAGGCAATCATCATCAGAAGTCAGCATGAGTTTGCCTAATGGTTTTGCATGATTAACCTTACTAGATGGGAATACAACCTTAATAGACAGGAATATTGAGAATATAATAGATTTTGATTTCAATAAGGCATTTTTCAAAATACCCCCTGCCTTTCTGATTAACAAATTTGATATGTATTGGGCATAACAATTAAATGGCTAAAAAATTAGCTTGAAAGTGGTGTCTAATGAACATTCAAAAATTCTTCATCAAATTGGAGACAGACATGTACTATGGTGAAACAAAGTTCTGTTTTGGATCTTCTAATTTTAAATATTTTTATTGATGACTAAGATAAAAAATTGGAAGGAAAATTCCCATATTTGGGGGTGATACAAATTGGTGGGAGAGCCCACACTCAAAAAGAATCCTTAATAGTAAAAGTAATGGTGATAGTAGAATAATTTACCTGTGTGTTCTCTATCAATAGATTTGTTTACAGAATAAACAGCCAGCAATCACAGATAGTAAGAGCAGGGAACTAATTCAGTGACATAAATGGTCCCTTTTAACTAGTGGTGGGATTCAAATATGTGAACAACTGGTTCTCTGTATGGATGCCGCTTCCAGAAGTCCATTCTGGGCCTGGGCAACAAAAAACTGGCTACCAGTTCTGCCAAATCAGTGCAAACTGGCTGAATCTTACCACTGCTTCTAACTCTATGATATTTCTATGCGGATTGTAAAAAATGCACCAAGAATTTACCAAGATCTATGAAATTGTATGCAATTTTTGTACTGAACTTGGATGCTTGACATAACTCCTAATCTGATTTATTGATGCTAATTACTGCTTGTGTTAGATGAGCGTAGATGATTAAATCTAGCAATCCCATTTTCAGTAACAACTTTTAAATAAATGTATCTTTCATTCTGTCAAATGCTTTATGATTATCTAAGGACAGGAAGACTATGAGAGTTTGATACCTTCTGAATTAATATAGTGGCTATGTGAGAGAAGAGACATAAGCGACACCTACGCAGAGCCTTGCTGTATTTTATTTCCACCACATATTGGAGATTTGGAGTATTACTAACGTTACATTGCATTTTAATTTACTTTCCCATAGATTATCAAAATGATCAGTTGTATGCAACTCCTTGCCTGAAATCACTGTCAAGACAACTTGGCTGCATTGTATAATTTCACAAGTTTGAATTTCAATATATAATCTTTATTTTAATATGTTGATATTCACGTCTATATTTATATGCAGTACCAGAAACCTAAAAATATCAGCTTTCATTTTTTTTTATTTTCAAAGCAATTTTCTAGTTCTTAGGGAATGTTCATGAAATTTGTGCAGCCTAGATTCAGGGATGGATCAGAATTTCTAGAAAATTAAATCCAAATGAATACTTCTTTGTATGCCTAAAGCCTGTCAACCAAATTATAAAAATATTCTTGACTTGCATATTTTATGGAGGCTACAATTTTTGAACAGTTTCTTCAAAATCAATACCTTTGATAAAAAGCTGTATGTGAATGTGAGAGCATGAATATCTAATATATACTACTTGAAAATAATAAAACAACTGTAAATATCTGTACCCCAAACAAATAAAATTAAGCTCTTTAAAGGCTCATGGTTATTGGAGAAAATCAGACAACCATAGAGAAAATCATCTCTCACATTTTATTAACAGGACTGAAAACGTTTAACTCTGAGTTGTGGTCACAATTTGTGATTAATTTGTGATTAATTTAGGTTCCTGTGTACTGCAACTTAAAAAATGTTAATAGTTCTAACTCAAATTTTGGCATAGAATAAGAGTATTAAAGGAGAATCATATTAACTTTTGGTGGGGGGAGGGATAATACAGAGGAAAATATAGGAAGCAGAATTACAAATAGAAGATGACTATATATCTGAGAAGCACAATGAAGCCTTCATCTTGAAGCACCCAGATATCTGAAATAAACTTTAGTTTCCAAACTAAAGTTTTGAGGTCTTCTGAAAACCTTTGGGGGATGCTTATCAAATTAAGGACTTTGTTCTCAATTACTTATTTCTGCAGTCTGGAAAAAAATGTAATAAAGGGAAGATTATGTCTAAGATCTTCTTTTAAGAAACTAATTAGAACCTGTCATAATTAAAATTAAGTAAACAAATAATTAAATTTAAGTAACAAATATGAGAAGGAGCCCAACAGCTTCACTGTTTCCAGCTGCCTTATTTCCTCCAATTTCATAGAATTTTGTTGATAAATGTAGCAAGCAGAAGATTGGATCTTTATTACTGCTGATCTGAAAAATCATGAAAAGCCTCACCTTCTATGCAATAAACCTGCTGCCTATTTTCCCAGTGTGCCGATAAATTGGAAGAAAAATGGGTGGGGGAAAATTCCTTTTTAAAGGGAGGCTAAAGCAGGCCTTTAAACATTGTGGTCTCATTGAAATATAACATTGCCAATGTCTGGACCTGAAGTACTATGAAAAAAATGAGAGACTTCCAGCTTATACAAAAGAGAAAAAATTATCTTTCTAACAACAGAGAAAATTTGTTTTAAAGTGCTTGTTCTTTCCAACTTTGAAGAGAAGGAAAGAGAAGAACATAGGTGGAGGGCAACATTTTATTTTTACAATTCTATCTAGTCTGACATTGTCAAGCTTTCATTTTATTACATAGCTTAATTCCTTTAGTAGTTCTAGAATTCCAAATCAGATGTCAATATACCTTCCTAGCTCTTTTCAAAACAATTGGAAGAGAACCTAAAACCTATATACTGTAGTTATAGCTAATACATATACAGTTGCATGCTCGTTGGCTCCCCAAAAACAGGTATTCATAACTATATTTCAGAAACTGAAAGAATGAAGAGACTATTCTCATCCACCAAGATTGAACATTGCTTGGTGCAGCATCTTGTGTGAATTATTTCTTGCCAGTTCAAATTGCAAAATGTTATTATTTTATGGACATGTAAGAAGTCCATGAAACTTCCCAATCTTGAAAAGTAAATGAATAATTCATTTCTTTCTTTCTGTCTTCAATGGCATATTTAGATATGCCTTAGGGGGTTGTCCTCTCTGCTACATTTAAAATAGAGAGTTAACTCAGAAAGTTTCTAAGTCCGTTTTTATTAAATAATGTTCCATGGCTTCCTGATAACTAAAAGGAAAAGATTCTGGGTTGGTCCACAAGCCTAACTCATTTCTGAGGATTTGGTAAGAGAAATACAGTAAATACAAATCTAATCCTCTAGTTCTATACATTAATGAAATAAATAGATTAATGAAATAAATAGATTAAAATATACAGTATAGTTATCAACTGGAAGAACCGGAGACAACAATGAGTAGATGGACAAACTGTGGTATTTCTTAAAGGGACAATAACACTATCCATTTAAACTCATCAAAATTATTTTCACTGCCTACCCCTATCATATACTCCCAAACTGATAAAGATTTTTCTGGTGGTGATCATGGATTGCTAAGAATTCTGCATTAGAGATTCGAGGATTATTATTATTATTATTGTTGCAAAACTCTATTTTTCCATGCTTGAGTGTGAACTACAGTTGTTGAACTACCAGGCTGTGCCAAGTAGTTTAAATTTGTAGTTCAGATATGTTCAAAGTGAAACTCAAGAAAACCCCTTTCATTTCTATGAAGAGGCAGTACTTAATTCATTTCAGAGATAGATCTGATGGTGATGAGAAAAAGTTAGTACAAACAGGAAGTGAAAAGTGGTAATTACAACAGTACTAAAGAAACAGCAATAAACTTAAAGAACACCAAAACTATTTTATAAAAAGAAAGAACATATAATGAAATTAAAAACAGTTCATTTAACTTTCCAGTGAGACTGAAGTCCCATTTTACAGAGTCCCAGCAACTGGTGGTTTCACACCTTTTCTCTTGAAAACAAATGAAATCTTGAGACAGTAAATGACACTTTCAAGAAGAATCAAGAGGAGGAGCAGATCAAGAGGAACATCAAACAAGTGAATCTGTTCAAAAGAAACTGAGATTTGGATAGTAAAGAGGCTTCGAGATGATTGGAGAAGAATTAGGTGGGCTGTCATTTGCATTTGCCCTGTTTTGAACGTGGCATTCTAACTTCACATCCCTATCAACAGTAATGCCATTTCTGGGCACTTTTTTACCTGCCTTTCCTTCTCTATTTTTTAATCTTTGGATTTTAGCTGTCCAGAAACATTAGGTCAATAGAAGCCTGGCAGCTAAATTACATTGATAGTTCTTTCTGAGTCATTGATGGTCTCTTCTAGGATATCCAGTTTTTGGCAAATGTCTTTTCAAAGGTCTTGGGTTCTTATAGTCATGACATCAACAGTAGTGCACACACCTTTTATTTTTCATCCAGATTCCTTTACTGATCTTCTCTTAAAATATCATCCTCTTCCGTAGAATCCTCGTGTTGCTGCCTAAACAATTTCTCATATTTCGTGGGATTTCATTCCCAAGGGATTGTAGATTTTCTAAGGGAAAATACTATTTGAAACATCAGCCTGGTTACCTCTAAGCATCTGTTTTCAATCTTCATTAAAGGTTTCTCAAAACTGAAAGTATCTCTTCTGAGTTCTGTCTTCTTTGCTTTTTAGTTCTGTAGTGCCATGTTTGTTATCCAACCCCATGAGTACTTCACCTTCTTCTGTGGATGAAGAAAAAGTCTTATCACCAAGTATGACATTTGATAGGAAGACAAAGCTGTTTGTTTCATATATGGACCCCAGCCCCTTTAGCAAATGTTTGTAGATTCTCTGCTTGGTTGGCCCCAGCATTCACAACCATATGATATTGCCTTCCAGTTGAATAAGTTTATCCTCCAGAGATGTTTTGACGCTTTGTGTATTATACTTCCCATTTACACAATTACACAAAAATACCAAAATATGTAGACTCTTTTAGAGCTAACCCATCCCAACTTTCTCTTCCAGGTAGAGAATGAATATATGATGGCCTTACTACACAGATCAAATGATAAGTGCACGAAATATTTCAGTTTCTTTTCATTGTTGCTCAGCTCTCCCAGCAAGACCTTTTTGTTTCTTTTTCATTTTGTCTGTAATCCATGCAGAGTCCCAACTGCCCCTCAGTACTTCAGTAATAGGACCGCATAACTCCAAGCCTGCTTGTGGCTTAGATTTAGGAAATTTGGTTACTCACACACAAAGAAAAGAAAGGAAAATGGGAATTTTTACCAAAAGAGTCCCTGAGAGTCCTAACTCTTAAGAAAAAAAAATATTGAGAGAGGAGTATTTAAGCAGTGAGCAAATCAGGAAACTTCTCTGTTCAATAATCTAATTATTTTATTAGTGTGCCTGGGTTAATGCTTTGCCCCATAGATCATTCCTTTATCTTAGATATTTGGTATTCTGGGGTCCTGAAAACTTGGCCCAAAATGTAAGGATGGATAATGGCAAATCAATATCTCTCATTACAAGTCATATCCAAAATCCTACGAAGTAATATACATATGTAATTTAAAATGGTTCACATATTGGGAATGGCTGAGGAGCAGAGACAAAGAAATAATTCTAGGTAGCCTTCCCCAGCTCTCTCCATACTGACTGGAGAAGTCTGTACATTTGGAAGATGGCCAGATTGGGGAAGAAGAACTAAAGAAGGAAAGTTCCTTTCTATGCCTGATTTCTGTTTGAAACTCTTCATTGCTGTGATTGACAGGTACTTCGGGGCAACAAATATTATGAACTGTTGCTATCTCTGATTTTACCAATTTTTTTTTAAGTTGACAAGCTTACTTTTCTGAGACTTGACTCTCACAGTCCTCTATTTTCTTCTTCATTTTTTCTTAGTGATTCAAAATTTATTAAACTCTTTTAAAGCCGCAGCAAAACTGGCACTGAATCAAGGAGGAGAAAGAAATATGTGCATGCAGCACAGGCCATGATGCTCCTGTTGTAGCCTATTCAACTATTTTATAAACAACATTTCCAGGAAAGAAATGATGAAGTGAAAACAGCTTCACTGAGAGCAGAGCTGACAGCTGTGGCAGAATGAAGACCCAGAAAGTGGGAACAGCTCTTCAGACTCCTCTCCAGACAAGGAAAGGACTTGAGATCATGCACAAGTGATCCAGACAGCTGTTCCTTCTGAGGATATGACATCACAGTGATTTCTGGCAGTTTTAAAGCTTTGGGAAACAAGGGAGTGCCATTTTTTACCAAAGCATGGTCAGTGCCATTATGGACACAGGGTTTGAATACTTCCTCTCCTAGTTAGTTTTGGAAATTGCTTGTTAACTGCTTTTTAGATATTAGAAACATTTAAAATGACAGTTTTTATAGCACCAGGTGAGTGTCTGTGAGTCCTCAGCAGAAGAAGTTTTAAACATGTTTAAAGATATTTTTAAAAAACCTTTCTTTGGAATAAACAAAGAGTGATTAGAATATTGATTTTAGAAAGTTACAAATGGACTAAGAGTCCAGATGAATTTGAAATAAGATTTTGAAATTAATTATAACAATCCTTCCCATGGGAAAATGTTCTTAAATATTATAGATTGGCTACTAGAAGAAACCAAAAGGAATTTAAAATTACAATTAAAGGATACAAATATTTAAATTTAACTTACTAATAGAAAATGGAGCAAAATACTTTAACATGGAACATACTGAGAAGTATTTGTAAACAATGGATCCAGAAGTTATTTTTAAGAGTGATGCCTCTATAATAGATCCTGTTTAAAAGCCCCCATGGAAGAGAAACAAATTTTATGAGACAAGACTGAGACTGATCTTCAAGTAGATTTTAAAATCTCAGGCTACAAGAATGCTATGGAAAAAGATGCTACGCTGGACATACAAATGAAATTGGATGATGTTTTAATAATTTGCATCGCACTGAGGCTGAAAGGATTAGCCACTAACATCACTGTTGGCTGGGGGATGCCCAGCTGGAGGCCCCTTTCATGTCCTTGGCAAGAGATGGAGTGAATGACAGGAACTCACTTAGTCCCACGGCAGCACTTGAGTCTCGAATGTGGGCTTGCTGCTTGTCAACCCGGCATCCTAACTACATGAACCACTGTGTTCCCATTTTAAGAATTAAAAGGGATATGCAAATTACAAACCAAAAGAACCCAAATAACTTTCCTATATCAGATTTACAAAAACATTTGTTAAAGTTTTGAAGAAAAAGGAATATAAAGTTTGTTTATTTGATCAAGTTTAAAATAGATATGTTCTTATCTGTGGCAACACTTAACGGATTTTTGTTAACCAGGACTGAACAAGGAGGTTTTAATGATTTGTTTATAGATAAGAAATGAGATATGAGATGAAAAGTTCATTTATTGTATTATAAAATGTTATAAATTACTAAAAACTATTTCTATTTATACACTATATATCTATTTTCTCTTTCTTTTCTATTGTTATTTCTCTTTCTTATTTTCTGCACTTTCTTTTATATTTTTATTCTTTTATTTTTTGTGTTTGTATTAGTATTCATCTTTTTAATTGTAATACTTAGTAAAATTAGTTTATTATTAATTTATGTTATAAGCTACTCTTTAATTCCAATGCAATTATGTCCAGATCTATTATTACTGTTACTATTACTACTACTACTACTACTACTACTACTACTACTACTACTACTATTATTATTATTATTATTATTATGCAATTATGTCCATGGAGGAACATTGACCATGGGGTCGTGATGGGTCGGACATGACTTTGCAACTAACAACAACAACTACTCAAAAGAACGTTCTGAATAGTTATACTCAGAGGAAATAAGTATAAGACTCAGAGGAAATAAGTATAAGTATATAGCCTTAAAACATATTTCTCTACTTTTATATATATGAAAAATAATACAGCAGCTGGAGGCTTTACTTAAGATAGTGTTCTTTCTCTCATAATTAACAGGAAGTTTAATGACAGAATAAGAACAGCTTTCATAAACAAATACCGGTGTGGAGATGTATCCCAAATAGTGTCCCTTATGAAAGTCAAATCCCACCTAATACTGCTTTTCACATATTCAAACTTCTAAAGGGGCTACTTCACCTATCTCATTGTCCTCTCTAAGATACCAGGCACATTCTAGGTATCATCTGAAAAATATTTTCCTATAAGACTTAGTGAAGATTGAACCTGTGAGACAGCACCTTTGGCATTTTCAAAATATGGTATAGCTATGCCAGCAAACAATTATCTACAATGTTTCTGTATGAAGGACAACCCCATAGACTACTAATCAATGAAAAACATGTAATCATAATGAACATCAGGTGACTAGAAAAGTAATATTTTTAAATGGAAATCAGATTATGAAAATATGAAGGAGACCAGCCTTCCCAGCTGTAGTCCAATGTATATGGAAGGCTCCTAGATAGGGAAAGAACCAGAGATAGGGTTGGAGGGGAGTAGGTAAGACATTTTAAATCAGGAGTTCTCAACCTTGGCAACTTTAGGACTTGTGGACTTCAATTCCCAGAATTCCTCAGCCAGCTTTGCTGGCTGAGGAATTCTGGGAATTGAAGTCCACAAGTCTTAAAGTTGCCAAGGTTGAGAACCCCTGTTTTAGATGAAGCTAAACTTCAAAGTCTAATTCCCCCAAAACAAAACTCAATAACAATAATCCTGGACAGAATCTACTTTAAGGCATCCTGAGTATTTCAAAGTCATTGCTTAGTTCCGACAGGGTTATGAGAGTTGGCTTTACTAACTTTCAGAACTTACTTTTGGGAAAGAAGTGACAAAGAACCAGGCAGTCTTTACAATAAATAGTCAGAATGGGTATTTTTTAAACTAAGTTAAGGAAGAAAATTAACAAGTTGAGCGAGGGCTATCAGAATTCAAATAATGTTATAGTTTAGCCGGACCAGAAACAAGTAGATTTTGCAAGATATGCCACCAGAAGCTGTGAATGCTCCAACACTGGAAGTTTTTAAGAAGAGACTGGACAGCCATTTGTTTGAAATGGTATAGGGCAGTGATGCGAACCTTTTAGAGACTGAGTGCCTAAAGTGCAACCCAAAACCCATTTATGCATTGTCGAGTGCCGGGTGAGTGTGGCCTGTTGGCTGGGTGTGGCCAATTGGATGGGCGTGGCTGCAGTGGTAATGGCAGACTGGGTGGGACTAAAAAGTTCAATCAATCAATTCCAAATTTGCAAGATCTTTTTTTTCCCACGAGAAGTTGAAATTGACTGATTGAACCTTTTTTTTTTTTTTTTGCATATGGCGGCGGAGGCCTAAAGAGAAAAGATTTTATAAAACCCAGCTGAAAGCCTAGGACTGGGGTGTGCCCACAGAGAAGGCTCTGAGTGCCGCCTCTGGCACCCGTGCCATAGGTTCACCACCACTGGTATAGGGTTTCCTGCCTGAGGAGGGGGTTGGACAAGATGACCTCCAAGGTCCCTTCCAACATTACTACTACTACTACTACTACTACTACTACTACTACTACTACTATTATATTTGCTAATTACAATTTTGTTTTGAAAACTGAAAGGGGAGAATTCAGAAACTAAGTATGAATTACAGCAATTATATTTTATTGGAAACAATTTGGCACTAAAGGTAATGTTATTATATTGACTCATTAATCAAATCTTGTATTTAAATATATACTGCAAGAAAAGAGTTAGCATGACTCCTGAATTAAAGATGGATAT